CATCATCAGTATAGTTTTTAAGTCAGTTCCCAAGCTCATGGTAGATAGACCCAGACTGAAAGGCATCCCTTTCCCCCCTAACTTATTTGTATGTCAAGATGGAGTGAAATCTACTATGGCAGTCCCCCCAGAGCTTCGCCTAGTGCTGGGCTTATAGTTGGTGCTCAGGACACCGGTGGAAGTTGGAGGCAATCTTTTTTTTTTTTTTTTTAAGATTTTTTTATTTATTTGACAGAGAGAGAGATCACAAGTAGGCAGAGCAGCAGGCAGAGAGAGAGAAACAGACTCCCTGCTGAGCAGAGAACCCGATGTGGGGCTCAATCCCAGGACCCTGAGATCATGACTTGAGCCGAAAGCAGAGGCTTAACCCACTGAGCCACTCAGGCGCCCCTAAATCATTTTATAAGAAACCCTTCTCAATGTGAAGAGTTGCTCACTAATAGGTTCCCACAATTATGTTTGCAGTTAGAACAGTTGATTTTTTTCTTAATGCAGAGGCATATCTCTGTTCAGGCTTTTGATGACACAACAAAAGCATCCTGAAAAGAGGAACTGAGTAGGGGTGATTATTTTTGAAGGAATTTGAGCCACACCTTCCTTCCCGAATGTTGCTTTGGTAACAATGTGTGAAGTTACACTATCAGTGCCTCTCAGCTGCTCAGGGGGATCAGGGGGCCCCTTAACAGGTATGAATCTTGGGTCCCATCCCCAAGGCTCTGTTTCATTGGGCCAGGGTGTGGCCTAGGCATCAGGATTTTAAGAAGTTCCCTAGGAAGTTCTTATGTGTGGCCAGGGCTGCAAATCCCTGACCTAGAAAGTGTGGAACTTCTTGTAGAGGAGAGTGGGAGACTTGTCTCTTGAATCTTAGAGGGAGTCCTCTTGGACTAGAGATGGAAAGTCCCCTGGATTTTGTGATCCAAGACTGCTCTGGAAACTGAATCTAAAACATAATTTGTATGAATAAATAGACATACACATACAGTATCTAAAATGTTAATGTATATCAAATAGTAGTTAATTGTTTTCTATCCCTTTAATAAAACATTTTTCTGATTATAAACGTGGTACACGACTACATAAACTATTAGGTTTATGCAGAAAAGTATAAAATAGGTTAAAAATCTCCCCAGATGTCAGCATACAGAAGAAATAACTATTAATACATCTCGTACACATCTTTCCACTCGTTTCTCTTTGCCTGTAGAGACATGCAGCCTAGACCTACAATTCAATGTCAATGGAATCAATGATATATACAGGTCTGGGTGTTTTGCCCAACAGTATGATATGGATAACTTTCCTTAAATCCTCATAATCACTTTTATGAGATTTTGCCAAATGCAAGCTCTAATTGGGTCTGATGAATGGAACATCTACTTTGCTGTTAAGACTTGCTGTATAGGGGCGCCTGGGGCTCAGTGGGTTAAGCCTCTGCCTTCACCTCAGGTCATAGTAATCTCAGGGTCCTGGGATCGAGGCCTGCATCAGGCTCTCTGCTCAGCAGGGAGCCTGCTTCCCCTTCTCTCTGCCTGCCTCTCTGCCTACTTGTGATCTCTCTCTGTCAAAAAAACAAAAAAACAAAAAAAAGGACTTGCTCTGTGTGTGTATATATATATATTTAAAATAAAGGGCAGACAGCAGAGGTTGAGGGCTCCTGTGTTGGTCGAGAAGCCTGGATGTGTCTGAGCAGTCGGTGGGCTGGGCACAGAGGGCTCAGCAAGCTTGGCCACAACCTCTTTTTGTAGTGTTGGTCTCTATTGAGTTTTAGTTTCATTATTTAGGCTTTTTTTTTTTTTAAGGTTTTATTTATTTGACACAGAGATAGAGAGTACAAGTAGGCAGAGCAGCAGGCAGAGGAAGAAGGAGAAGCAGGCTCTCCACTGAGCAGGGAGCCCGATGTGGGGCTCGATTCCAGGACCCTGAGATCATGACCTGAGCTGAAGGCAGCTGCTTAACCAACTGAGCCACCCAGGCGCCCCTCATTATTTAGGCCTTTTAAACAGTTTTTGTTTTAATTTGCTTTGTGGACCATGCCGAGAATAGAGAACGATGTCCAGTGCCAGTCGACAGAGTTGCCTCCTGAACAGGCAGGAGGTGGAACCACCTGGAGGGGGCGTCTCGGCAGTGATCCATTGCTGGGCCTTGCACTGGATAGCTATTCAGTTATTGAGAAAAGACAACAAGCTAAATTTTTATTTGAAATCTGTTGGCTTGCCTTTTTTGGGGGGAGGGGGGTGTAGGGGCAGAGAGAGAGAGAAACTTAAGTAGGGTCCATGCCCAGTACAGAGCCCGAAGTGGGGCTCAATCTCATGCCCCGAGATCATGACCTGAGCCAAAATACAGAGTTGGATGCTTAACCAACTGAGCCACCCTGGTGCCCCTGACATCTCTTGCTTTTTAAATGTAGACTACTAATTGTTTAAAAACACTGTGGGGCCAAACAACACACCTGGGACTTTTTATAGTCCTCTGGGAGCCAGTCTTAGGTTCTTGGTCTACTAAGACATCTGTGGCAGTGGTATGGATTTAGTCTACTTGATTTAGTTCTAAAAATATTGACCTATGTGTTATTCTACGTGGCACTTGCTCAGTGTTCGAAAGACTGGAAATACAAAGATGAAAAGTTATGCTCCTTGTCTTGGGTGGGGTACCTTGTAGTTGAGAGGAGCTATTCTCAAAATATGGTCCCCAGGCCAGCTCCTCAGTATCAACTGGGAACATGTCAGAAATGCACATTCTCAGGCCCCACCCCAGATTCACAGAATCAGAATTTACATTTTAGCAAATGCTAAAATGCAGTCTTTTTGTTTTTTTTTTTTTTTTTAAAACATACCTTCCTGATGGTTCTGACTCCTTGCTGAAGTTTGAGAACCAGTGGTCTGGGAAGGGAGTTAAGTGTATGGACAGAGATCAATGGGATGGAGAAGTTGTGGTGAGAGTCAGGGAAGCTTTTCAGAAATAAATGACTCCACCTGAATCTTAAAGGATGAGTAGAAGTTGGCAGGTGAGCACTGGGGAGAGGAGGGAGCAAAACGAACAAGAGTGAGGAGGAGAGAGTGTGTGTAGGGTTTGGGAATTGTCAGTTTAGAGCATGTGGATTCTCTGGCAAATAGAATGAGCTGAGAAGACTAGATGGGCCCAGGTGTTGCATACCAGGTCACATTAGCTGGATTAGGTCTTGTAAGTGTTGGGACATCACTGGAGACCTTGGAGTAAGGGAATGTGGCACTGGGTCTGTGTTTAGGAAAATAATACCACTGGCATGTTTCTTTCTGAGTAGAGACAATCCTCTTGATACTTCACTGGCCTAGATCTGGATTCCTGCCTCTCCTGGTGTGATTTGGATCTGGGTCAGCAATTCCCATCCTTGGATGGGGTGGTGGGTAGAGGAGGGAAAAGCTCTTGCATGAGGAAACAGTCATTGCTGCATGTGAATTTGTGACTGCAATTGTCATATGTCACTGTGTCCCCTTCCTTCCCACAGGGAAAATGCTCATTCTCCAAGCTGAACATTTTAGTGGATGCTAGTGTTTTCAGCAATGGCAGTGGTCTTTGTTTTCCTACGTTAAAAGCAGCTCATCAATTTCTGCAGCAAATATTTTTGGGAAAAAACCCCTTGCTCTGTTTTCTTTTCTTAGAGTTCTATGGTGTTTGAAGAGGGAATCATTTGAACTCAAGGCCAGGGAAACTCATGTCTATACCTTACTAGGGCTTTCTTCTCCCTCCCTTTCTAGCCCTCTTTCTTTTTGAAATGCTGGGAGGTAGTGGGAGCAGGCTGCAATGTCATCTCCCCCTGCTGGTCGTTTTGTGTAATGTCTTGTTGGTAATCTACAAAGCCGGCGCAGACAATGGGCCAGGCAAATGACAGAAAAGTAGACCCAGGTTGGATCCATTAACTTTTAAAATTTGTCCACACGTAGTGCATTGTGAAATCTTTACCTTTGTGAGAGGGTGAAAGGATTTTTTTTTTTTTTTTTTTTTACTCCTTCCATTCTTTGCACATTGATGTAGTGTTTACAAAGCGGTTATTTCTTTTGTGTGGCTACTGCAGCTTTGCATGCATTCATGATTACAGCAATCCCTTCTATTCTGCCACTTAGTGAGTTGTTGTTTTTTTTTTTTTTTTTTTGTAAGCTAAAACGAACAGGTTTTTCCAGTTAATTGCTTTGGGTGTTCTGTTCAACTTGACCACAAGTATCTGTGCCTGTTTACTCTGAGTATATAAAACAACCAAGCTGTAATCCTTATGAGCATTAAAGTGATATTTAATGTGAGTGAAACTTGTGTTTCTACTTGATGATCGATCTCTGTTTTTAATCACAAAGGTGGTGTTCATAAATAGGGGATTCTCATTATGACTCTCTCCACATGATAAATTATATAGAGACATTTCAGAGGACGGTGAAATGCCTCGCTGAGAAGCTTTAAGGGTAAGGTTTTTCTAGAGCAGTTCTCCGAATAATTCCACTCCCCTCGCCCCTTTTAAACTTCTCTGTTTGGGAGCATCTAAATTTAAACAGCCTTCCTAATAAAAAACTAATCTTGTTGTTACCTTCTAAAATCCTGTCTTGACTTTGCCCCTGTGTGCTGAGCAGATTGGATTTATGGGGTGGTTTACATTTATGTGTTTCAAGACAATCTGATAAGAGGAAGCTCGAACCCGCTTGGAACTCAGGCATTCTTGCCTCTTACCACGTAGGTGCAAGTCAGTTACCACCTCGAGGCATAATAAACTATGATACAAGAGATATTGTCTAGGTCCTCTCCAGCTTTATTCAAATGCACTCATCAAAATGATTAAGACATTTATCCTCATTTGGACATTGAGAGCAATCCCAGAAATAAGAGAAAGAGAGAAGTGAAGTTGCTTTTATTGTCTTACAAAGATCCTCAAACATAGTTTAATGTCAAATCAGCCAGAGGGTTAGCTGTAAATTGGGTGTGTTCTGTGGACTATGTGCCTTGTTCTTATTGCATTGTCTGCCTTTTTTTTTCTCCAGTTGCAAATGAAGCTGGAGACAAGACCGCCAGACCCCTCGCTCGCTTCTCCCGTGAGTAGATCTTGTTTCACTCCTTTCCTGGGCTCCTTTAGAGGCCTTTTTTTTTTTTTTTTTTTTTTTAAATTTGACAGACAGAAATCAGAAGTAGGCAGAGAGGCAGGCAGGGAGAGAGGAGGAAGCAGTCTCCCCGCTGAGCTGAGAGTCCGATGCAGAGCTCGATGCCAGGATCCTGGGATCATGACCCGAGCCAAAGGCAGAGGCTTTAACCCACTGAGCCACCCAGGTGCCCCCAGAGGCCTTTTTTAACCTGCACGCTCTACTGCTGTAACCCTGCCAGGTGTCAGTAGAACACTCTCAATAAAAGAGCCATATAAAAAATATCTTCAGCGGGTTAATATTTCATTTGAGCCCCACCGCGGGTGAGCTATTCATTGCTCTTGCCTTTTCAATCCTTAGAACTGTGTGCGGTTTATCAAACTGTGCTCTAGTGTTTTGCTATTTCAAGTGGGGTCCTGGGAGCCACAGAACTAGCATGCCTGGGGAGTTTTAGAAATGCAGAGCCCCAGGCCCAAGGAATCAGAATTTGAATGGAACAAACCCCTAGGTGATTTCTGTGCAGGTTTGAGTTTGAGAACTGCCCATTGGGAATCCCTGCAGTGGAGGTGGTTTTTTTTATGAGGATAGAGTGAGGAAGAGTATGTGAAATGCACGTACTCGCCAAGGTCCACACATGTGTGAAACTGTCATCACCACCCAAAGTGATTTAGGGGCTGCCTCCAGGGGATTTCCCTCCTTGAGGTGACATTTTTGAAGCTCATATAGATTGAATGGTTTTCCTTGGGATCCCATAAGGGTCTTGGAGCTCCCCATCAATTTCTCTCGATTCTTCTGTCTCCAGGTCTTGATCATAATGGGAGAACAGGAGTCAAACGCTTCGCAGTGTTTTCTGTGCTAGTGTGATCAGCAAATCACACAGCCCATTAATGCTGTCCCTGGAATGAAAACCCAGATCCCAACAAGGGAGCAGAAATACCAGAGGTTGAGCAGGGCTGGGTGGAGGTGTTCCCCAAGGCCTGGAGCAGAGAAATGGTGGGGCTGTCCATCGAAATGGATGGATTTTTCTTTCCAGCACCATCAGTACTTGCTGGCTTTTGCTTCAGGTAATTTCCCGGCTATTTTCTGGGCCTCAGTTTTCCCATCTGGAAACCAGAAAATTCATACCCATCTTCTCTCCTTTATAAAAAGGTTACCTACTTTTGAAGTCATGGCACACAAATTCCCCGTCACTGCATAGTTTGCATAAAGTAAATCAAGTCGTGAGTGTGGATACCACCAGAGTAAGCCTCAATGCCTAGAACTGAAAGTATCATTTCTCTATCTACAGGGCATTCTTCTAAATTCTGCCTTTCAGCTCTGCTGGGGAGGCTTCAAAATTTTTGAGACTGATTCCTAGAAATGGTTTTTATAGAACTGTAATAATACATGGTAATGTGAGAGCATTAAGTGCTCACATTTTAGAAGCTGTGAAATAAAACACTCGTTTCTCACTGCCCTCCTACCTGGAACCTTACTTCCCAAAATAAGTATCTCATCCCACAACTCAACGAGAATGATGAATATGCTTTTAGTCCCTTTCTTTATCTCCCGAGCAGTAGTCAGGCAAATTAATAAGCCGAAATCGTAATCCAACCACTCTGCATGCCTTGTGGTGCTCCCACCTCTCTGAGGGTGCCTGGAGCTTTTTTTTTTTTTTAGTGATTTTTTTTTTTTTAAGATTTTATTTATTTATTTGAGAGAGAGCACAAGCAGGGAGTCGGGAAGGGCAGAGGGAGAAGCAGACTCCCAGCAGAGCAGGGAACTTGATCCCAGGACTCGGAGATCATGACCTGAGCAGAAGGCAGAGGCTTAACCGATGAGCTGCCAGGTGCTCCTGCCTGGTGCTTTGATGCTCCCTGTGACCCGTAGGAAGGGGATGGACCAGGATCCTATCACTGTGAAGCCAGAATGACACCTGGAGCAGCTGGTCCCTTCCCAGATAGAAGAGGTTGACTTTGCTTGTAAATAGCTTCCACCACTTCTGAATTGCATGTCTGGGTTGGAAGGATGATATGTCACTTGAAAGCTTATTCATAGAAGATAGTGAGGACGTAAGAGAAGCAAAATATACAGGCAAAAAATAATTAGTGGCAAACCAGTCAAGTTGGGCTGTTTCTGGAACCAAAAAAAAAAAAAAAAAAAAAAAATTTCCGGACTGGGCGATGTTTGGGGGGGGGGGGGGGGGTCAGATGGTATTATTATTTCCTAAATCTTTTCGTAGCAGATAATAGAGGAAGAAAATTAGGTGGCCTTTAGGAAGAAAAAATATATATATTTTTCTTTTTTTTTTGGTGGAGGAACTAGGGATTGAACCTAGGACCTCGTGCAGGGAAAAATAATTCTTAACGTAGTATTGTCTGACTGACACTTTGCTTAACCACATTGAGAATAACCTTGATGCTGTGGTGGGGTATGAATGAAATGTTCAGTTTGGGGAGATTGGAAGGATTTGGATGACAGACTTCTCTTTGGAGGTTTGAAGATGAATACTGTGACCTTCTCCAGTGTTGGCAGCTGCTAACACACGTGTCAAACCCTCTGGTGAGCGCTGCCTAGCATGGATGTCAGCCCAATGGGAGTGGGAAACAAGAACACAGGCTGGAAATGCTGTGAAAGCTGGACCCGCTGAGGTGGGGGAGGGGTGGTCTGCAGAAGAACGCTCAGGGCTGGAAGGAAGGAGCTGGCCCTGGGGCCTCACAAGTCATCCCAAGGTTTTCATTCCCCTGGCGGGTGGGGGCTCACATCCTGATTCCGATGCCCCTGGAATATGCGGCTCATTTCTGTGTAGATTTTGCCCGTGCTTGAATCAATACACCCTTCTTGGCTTCCCTCCATTGCAAGAGATAAGCTGTGTTGATTCTATTAAGAAATCCTAAAGGAGAACCGGGGGAAGTAGAGGGTAGGAATCATGAAAACATCTAGCTTTTCTGAGCCCTGGTTTCTGATCCTGCTCTGGCCAGCTGCTCTACCAGCCTTGTAGGCCTCATTGGGCCGCTTCTGCAACACAGCCCATGCTGGGGTTTCTTCTTGGAATCCGTGTCTCTAAGTGGCTGACACGGCTACCAGGAGGCCCCTGGTGGATGGGTCACTGGCTGACACTGGGGCTGCTGAGGCAGATGTTGCCCTGATAGCCTGGGATAAATAACACGAAGCACAATGTCTGCACACTCAGTGCCTGGTAAGTACGGGAGATTGTCACTGTGTATTACCACCCTTCCTGTCCTCCTCCTCCTCCCTCCTCTCGTTCATTTCCACCCTCCCTCCCTCCCTCCTTCTTTTTACATATATTTATTGAGGACTTGTCTATGGCAAGCCCTAGAGACACACACAGGAGTGAGTTTGTCTTCAGAGGGCCCATAGTCTGATCAGACGATGCAGAAGTAAATGGTTCCAATATAGCATGTGGAGGGAAACCCTAGAGAGGAGGGAGCTACATGAACCAGATGGGGAAACCTCATCCGACCTGGAGAGGGAGTGGATTCAAGGGATCCTCCTGGAGGAGACAAGTATTAGCTGAGATTTAGGGAGGGAGCGGAAGTTAATAGGGAGAGAAGATAACTTCTTTAAAAAAAAAGCGGGGGGGGGGGGCAATACAATTTTTCAGGGATTAAAGGTTGCATGCAGTGCTCAGATGTGGCCACAGTGTGGTAGCAGAAGCCCAGAATTTGGTGTGCAAGGAGCCTTGAAGGAGGCAGGCATCCAGTGCCCGGGACTTTCAGGGAGGCAGCCAGGGCTTTGAAAGAGCCCGTGCAGCGGGAGGTCTGGCCTCAAAGCTTGTGTAGCTGGGCACCTGCACTGTGGAGTTTTTCCTGCTTCGCTTTCTCCCCTGAGGTGAACTGTGGTTGAAGAGAAAATAGTGGAATCAAAAGCAGTAAGGCAGTGGAGCCCCATTTGACTTCTGCTTTTGGAGGTAAAAAGCCAGGTAGTGTTGAAAACAGATCATCCTGTTGAAGAGCTGGAGTAGTCTGGGGGGATGGATGTTAAAGCAAAAGGAAGGTCACTTGCTGTTTTTGTACTGGGTATGTAATCAGGATGAATGATCCCTTTCCCTGGGTAGAGAATGGGGGGGGGGCAGATCGGGGTATACACTGAGGGTGAGCTCTGGGATTGGGATAGAGAGGAGCCAGCACCTAGTACAGGATGATATCCATTGTGGAACCCCAGGGCAAACTCAAAATCATATCCGACAGAGTGCTAGAGTCTGGCCAGAGAACTTTCTGAAATTGCTTGTCACAACTAAGTAGGAGGGTTTGTTGTAAGCATTAGGAGCTTGAGTTGGAGTTGGATGGGTTATGGAACCATGGTGATGAGAACAAGGAGAAGAGAAAGTGGGTGGGAGGAAGGGCTGAGAGATGCCATAGGCAGTGGGCTGTGGCTGGTGGCTGCGTGCTCAGTGTTTTGGGGGGCAGGGACTATGGATGAGTCAGAGCCATTTAAAGGACACAGGATAGGGCAGGAACTAGATCTGGAGATTTTCTCATTTGTCTTCAACAGCCCTATTTCTAAAAAGTTCAGATCCTGTATGGAGCTCTAGGTCTTACTCCAGCAGCATTTAATGACCGAACATCTTCATTTCCCACTTGTTCCAGCAGAAATGGGAACTTTATCTTCAACAGTGGAAGCTCTAGAATTTCTATGCACGAGGGACATAGGGGTAGCAATCTAGGTCAGTTGTCCTCAAAGTGGGGTCCTTTTAACTTGTGAGAAAGACAAGTACTTGGACCCCTTACCAGGTCTCCTGAAGCAGAAACTCGGGGTGGGTCCCAGCAAAAGCTATTGGTGATTCTAATGTACGCCAGTTTCCAAACCACCACTTTAGCTGTGATGGTGATGAGGGGGGTAGAAGCAGAAGCCAGGGCGCAGAGCAGCACAGTGTTTTTGTTTATAGATCATGGAGTAATATAATTAGCATTTTTCTATAGCCACTTGTAGTTACATATACACGCGACAGAGCA